CTGACTCTACGGAGTGGATGATGGATTCTGGTGCTACATACCATATTTGCCCTAGGAGGGATTGGTTCTCCAGCTTTGAGGAGTTGGAAAGAGGGGATGTTGAGCTCATGGGTAATGATCATGTATGCCCTATTGGTGGTATTGGTACAGTACTGATCCGAATGTGTGACGGGGTGACTCGGGAGCTGAAGGAAGTGAGATTCGTTCCTCAGTTGACGAAGAATATAATTTCGCTTGGAACTTTGGAGGCAGCTAGCTATAAGGTGATCTTAGAGAATGCTACTCTGAAGGTCATAAAGGGGTCCATGGTGGTGATGCGAGGTGTCAGGGAAAACAACCTTTACTACTTGAAGGGCAAGACAGTAACAGGGGGTCTGGCAGCTTCGATTACCACAGAGGAAGATACTACCAAATTATGGCACATGAGATTGGGACACACTAGTGATAAGTCCCTGCAGGTATTGGCGAAGCAGGGGCTATTGAAAGGTGAAAAGACCTGCAAGATGGAGCTGTGTGAACATTGCATACTTGGGAAGAAGACGAGAGTGAAATTCGGCACCGCTATTCACAATACCCAAGCTATATTGGACTATATTCACACAGATGTTTGGGGCCCTTCCAAACACACATCACTTGGTGGGGCCAACTATTTTGTCACTTTCATTGATGACTATTCCAGGAGGAATTGGGTATACCCGATGAAGCATAAACATCAGGTCCTGGATATTTTTGTGGAGTGGAAGAAGAAAGTGGAGCTGCAGACAGGTAGAAAGGTAAAAACTCTTCGTTCGGACAATGGAGGAGAGTATAAGAGTGATCCGTTTCTACAGTTTTGCCGGGATCACGGCATTAGACGACACTTCACAGTACGTGAGACACCGCAACAGAACGGGGTGGCTGAAAGGTTAAATCGTACCTTGCTGGAGAAGGTGCGATATATGATGAAACAGAGTGGATTGTCAAGATCCTTTTGGGCCGAATCATTGGTTTATGCGAGCCATCTCGTGAATAGGTTGCCGTGCACTGCGATACAGGGGAAGACTCCGTTGGAGCATTGGTCTGGTTCGGTAGCTAGTGACTATGACACCAACTCCAGATAACATTGTATCCATTGAGGCTCCTACAGAGGTGACACTGGGAGGAGATGAGATGACAACCGGGCATTTAGAGGATACAGTGGATGTTGGGACTCAGGAACAGGGTCATGTTCAGGAGTACATTGCAGCTAATAGACCAAGAAGAAACATTCGTCGGCCAGCTAGATATGACGATGTCATGGTTGCATTTGCTTTATCAGCAGAAGTCGTTGATGATTTGGTTCCTTCTACATTCAAGGAAGCAGAGTCAAGCTCTGATTCGATTAGGTGGAGGGAAGCTATGGAGGAAGAGATGCAGTCTCTTCATAAGAACGACACTTGGGAACTTGCAAAGCTACCAAAAGGTAAGAAGGCTATTGGATGCAAGTGGGTGTATGCAAAGAAAGAGGGATCTTCTATTGGGGAAATTAGATTCAAAGCCAGATTGATTACCAAGGGATATGCACATCTAGAGGGCGTTGATTACAACGAGGTATTTTCACCTGTTGTGAAGCATTCGTCGATTCGTATTTTATTGGCATTGGTGGCACAGCTGGATTTGGATTTGGTCCAGATGGATGTGAAAACAGCCTTTCTACATGGAAATTTAAACCTATGGGGTTCAAAGCTGCAGGAAAGGAAGATTTGGTATGCAAGCTGAAGAAGTCTCTTTACGGATTGAAGCAATCGCCGCGACAATGGTACAAGAGATTCGACGGCTTTATGATTGGCCGAGGGTACACGAGGAGCCCATATGACCCGTGTGTTTACATGCACAAGCTACAGAATGGTGAGTTTATCTATTTGCTATTATATGTTGACGATATGCTCATAGCTTCCAGGAATACTTCAGCTATTAGAAAGTTGAAAAAATAACTGTCATTCGAATTTGAGATGAAGGATCTTGGAGAAGCAAAGAAGATATTGGGTATGGAGATTGAGAGAGACAGAGTGAAGGGGAGGTTAAAGTTGACACAGAGGAGTTACTTACAGAAAATGCTGAAGAAATTCAGTTATGATGGCAATGCCAAGGCGGTGAGTACTCCATTAGCTCCCCACTTTAAGCTATCAGCTAAGATGTCACATGTTTCAGTTGAGGACCGGGAATACATGTCCAAAGTTCCATATGCCAATGCTGTGGGTAGCTTGATGTATGCGATGGTATGTACAAGGCCAGATTTGTCACGATGTCACCTGTTTCAGTTGAGGACCGTGAATACATGTCCAAAGTTCCATATGCCAATGCTGTGGGTAGCTTGATGTATGCGATGGTGTGTACAAGGTCAGATTTATTACAGGCCGTGAGCATGGTATCTAGGTACATGCACGACCCCGGGAAGGGTCATTGGGAGGCCATGAAGTGGATTTTACGGTATATCAAAGGTACCGTGGATGTTGGTTTGGTATTTCAGAAGAATGAGAAGAACGGGCAGGATTGTATTGGTTACGTGGATTCTGATTATGCGGGGGATCTGGACAAGCGCCGATCTACTAGCGGATATGTGTTTACACTAGCAGGAGCACCGGTATGTTGGAGATGCACACTTCAGTCTACAGTGGCTCTCTCCACTACGGAGGCAGAGTATATGGCGTTGACTGAAGCTGTGAAGGAGGCTTTGTGGTTGCAGGGATTATTGGAGAACTTGGGGATTGCACAGGAGACCCTTCGGGTATATTGTGATAGCATGTCAGCTATCTATTTGGCGAAGAACCAGGTTTATCATGCGCGCACGAAGCACATCGATGTCAGATTCCATTTTGTTCGTGACGTTTTGGATGATGGAGACGTCATATTGGAGAAGGTCCACACGAAGGACAACCCTCATTTTGTTCGTGACGTTTTGGATGATGGAGACGTCATATTGGAGAAGGTCCACACGAAGGACAACCCTACAGATATGTTGACCAAAGATATTTCAGGTGTGAAGTTTGGTCATTGTTTGGAACTTTTGAACATTCTTCGGTGTTGAGGCCTTTGGAGGCCAATTGGGTGAACTACGTTCGGCTTGATTCCTTAGGCAAGAGGATACATAGGCAGTCTTTCAGATGCAGCCGGGTTTGATTTGATGGGGGTGAGATTAATTTGGTTGGTGTCGGCTCAGTTTTGGGAAAACTTCACCGAGGTGGAGAACTGTGACATGGGGCCCACCCATGTGCTTGTGAAACCGTGTGTGAGGCTAAGCTCTTGGATTCCGCGTGAAGAGCTCACAAGACCAGCGGATTTGGATGTTTGTTTTCAGGTCCACCCGAAAAGGAGCGAAGGAGTGCAAGGTGCTGGGGTGTGCTTTGCGGCTGAAGGAGAAAAACACGAGTGGCAGCAGAAAAGCAAATAGCAGGGGTTTCTTTTGGCGGCTGCTGCAGACACAGAGAACAAAAGCTACAGGGATTTTGGCGGCTGACTGAGAGAAGAAGAAGCAAAGTCCTTTTTGTAGTAGTTCTTTGTTTTGTGCATCCCTTTGAGAGAATATTTGTAAGAGGGATTTGAGAGTTTGTTTGAGAGGGTTTAGATTTGTGAAATTGTAAACCCTAGTTGTATCTCTCCCTCTAATAGTAGATCTCCCCTCCTTGCCCCGTGGACGTAGGCTATTTGCCGAACCACGTAAAAGTTGTGTTCTTATCGTGATTTGTAATAGCTTGTAGGATCCCTCGACAGGTCAGTCCTAGAACTGATGAGAGGAAGAGCCGATATCTCACTTGGTTGAGATATCCGCTTCAGATTCTTGTTTCCTTGGTGAGACGGGAATTCTTATCGATCTAATCTCTCTTGTTGTGCTGCCGAAGTGCTGCCGAAATTTCCGCTGCGCACAACATATACATATATAATTAAGTGTCATATTCAATCTGCATCGTTGCACTCCTAGTGTGGTCCGTTTCACTACAGTGTAATTACATGTATATAAAATATTTATTTACTACATGCATAAATGTATTCTCAATATACTGAAGTATAAAATTAGTACCTAAAATATTACTACCTATTTATTTTATTAGTCCTTGAGTCCATGATATTGTTTTTCTTTTGAGCATAACCATAATGGAAAAAGCTTGCCTTGTAGAAAAGCTATTCTAATTTCTGATTGGAAACGTTACAGACTATTATACTAAAGTGTTGAAAGCTTTGTGTCAAATTACCTGAACAATTTAACATATTGTTAAGTTTAGGGTTAATTTGAAAAAAACCCTCATCATCTTCTGGAATGGAAAGATGCAATAAATCCCCATAATTTATATTACACCGAATCCCTCTGAACCTTAGGAATTGTTGCACATAACCTTGAACTATTTTATTTTACTAAATTTTACATAAAAATTTCTCATTTAATCTCCAGATTAGCATTATTGATAATAACATCTCATGTGACAAGCATGTGCCAAAAAAAAATAAAAAAATTTCTCTTATTGCAAAAAATACTTATTTTTCATTTTTAGTAAAACGATATTTTTTGGGACTAAGAAATCATTTATCATCTTTTTTTCCACTTAATGATGCTAATATGAGGATATTAATATTTAAATTTTTAGGTGAAATATAAAAATTTGATTGGGATTCACTGCAACTGTCCAAAAGTTTATGGGGATTTTCCATATTTAACCCTTAAAATTACTCTAAATTTCTTTATCCTCTTTCAAGCTAACAACTTCCCTGGTCCCTACCCGTCTAAATGGTTCCATGAATTAGTTATCTAGTGCAATAATTCTGCAATAATTTATCCTGCCAAATTTCTGTAAAAATTTAAAAAAAGGGAAAGAAAAACAACCATGCAGAAAATCCATGTGACCGGGATGGCAAGTGATGAAACCCCTGAAGTGGCAATTTCGAAATTTAATCAAGTCATAGGGCGATTTAGTTATAGGTAAAGGACATCCTCGGCCTTTCTTTAAATAGGCTAGATTTAGCCTCTGAGACTCCACAGTGCACTACATTCCGGTTTCCCTTCTTCATCATGGGTTGCCTGGGTGGTTCGGTTCTCCGCCGCCTACTGCTGGCGGTGATTGCAACGGAGATGCTGCAGGTTGTTGTAGCAGTTACTGAACAGGATGAGGCCGGTTCATTGAACAGAAGTAGTTTTCCAGCTGGCTTCGTCTTCGGAACTGCCACCTCATCTTATCAGGTAAATTTTTTTTTATGTTACTGATGTCGGAAGGTGGGTGAAATATTTATTGATTTCTGTTTTTTTTTTTTGGTAGATTGAAGGCTGTGCAAATGAAGGTGGGAGAGGGCCGAGCATATGGGATACATTCACGCAAAAGCATCCTGGTCACTCTCTTATGCACAGACACGCACTACAGTTTTCTGAGCTCTTTACTATTAATTTTATTTTGGAAGATTAATTGGAAAAGTACGATCAAAATCATGAAGTTTTATAACATCGGCATAAACAAGCGCGCTTGTTGCGTTAGCACAGACTAGACTCCTTTTGGTTGTCAAAAGGTTCAGTCTTGGGCCTAGTCCTAACCCTTGGTTATCCTACTTTGGGCCTAATCATACTTTGTGATTTTATTTGAGTCCTAACCCTTGGTTATCCTACTTTGTTGAGCACACAAACAAGCAACCCAAGAAGAGAGAGAGAGAGAGAGAGAGAGAGAGAGAGAGAGAGAGAGAAGATTAGATAGTTTTTTCCTTGGTTCCGCAAACATGCCTATCTTCATTGTCCCTCACCAAGGAAAATCAGTTATCTTCAGAAACTGATAAAAGTTTTAAACAACACTAACTTGTAGACATTTAGTCACTTAGCAGCACTTAAGAAACCTGAGAACACTCATTACTCAAGTGCTCCATGACAGGAGCGGATGCAGATACAAACAAAGAAGAGCATTTGCACCCATAAGAATATGAAAATTACATTGTAAAACCTACCAAACTTTTAAATTCCCCCATAATTACTATATGTTCACCCCAACCCTTACAAAACGTTGCCGATATGAATGTTAGCCAATTTAATTTAGGAATTTAAACTATTTGCTAAGAATGTTATTTTGAAATATTATGTTTTAATTTTTGGGTTAATAGATGCTTGCCGCTCGCTCCTCTAAGAAGGTTCCTATTTGATCCCCCGGCCATTGCTCTAAGAGACTCCCGTCACTTACCTCATCTCACACACACACATAGAGGATTAGAATGGGTTAATATGCAAGAGCTATTTCTCTGCATTGCATTCAGGTCCAGCATTGCTTCAGAGAATGTAATTGTAGTTAATGCTTTCTTCAAGCTGGGTCAAAAAATTGAAGGAGATTCACTTTTATTATAAGTTTGATGACCTCCCTGCTGATATTAAAAAAATATCTTGGATATGTTAGCATGGCTTTTGTTGATGATGGCAAAAAGGGTCTTGTCCTTGTGCTGGTATTGCGGTCTTGGATATACAAAGAGGATGATGATGAGGAGGAGGAGGAGGAGGAGGAGGAGGAGGGGGAGGTTAAAGAGGATGAGGAGGAAGAGGAAGAGGAGGAGGAGGTTAAAGAGGATGAGGAGGAAGAGGAAGAGGATGAGGAGGAGGAGGGAATACATTCTCTGAAGCAATGCTTGACCTGCATAGCCATTTCCATTTCGATTTTGAATGCTTCCTTCTGCTTGGCTAGAGCATCCTCAATGATTTTGGCTATTTGCTCGGTGTTGACCATAAACACTTCCCGAGCTTGTCCTATGCTAGACGTTGTATCGTCAGAGGCGATTGCGGAATAAGAATCCGAGAGTTCGTCACCGGAATGTATTCCTTCGTAGCCACCTTGGTGATCATTATGTCCAACGGTTTCTAGCTGAAGGGCAGATATTTGTTGGGTTATTCCCGAACTAACTCTTCTTCCTAGAGAGAAATTAGGGTTGGAACCACTTGAAACAATCAGAGATTTTCCCTTATTGACCATGTTGATGATAACTTCTGGAAATTCATCATCGCGAGCAACCGATCCTCTTTGGTGGGAACGCCTTGATTTGGGCTTCGTCGTTCCATCGGAGATTCTCTCGATTACCGAGACCCTCTGCGGAGCGGTCTTGGGGCAGCTACATGCTGATAATACTGCCCTGATAATTTTGATACACGGACAGTGAGAGTCCGCTTCCCGGGTACTTCTCTTTCGAGATTTATTTGTACCCCCAGCCTGATAGTACAACTCATCGACGTTGCGGTCGGAGTAACCTATCGGCCGCTCACATGGATTCTCAGGTATAACGCGTTCGTCTGTCTGACGCGTTTTCCTCTGAGTAAACATTACCTTGTTGGCGTCTGCAAGAGTCACACGTTTGGAATCACACCTTTGTGAGGGTGAAACCTTAACGGGCTCCTGATTTTCTGCACGCACCGCCAAGCGGGCCGTTGCAGAAATCAATTTGTTAGGAGGTCGCGTACGACCCCGAGTCCGGATGTTGCCTCGAAGCTCCTTCAACGATCTCTAGCTTTCCTTAACAAGCGCTTTTCCTCGATTCTCGGGTAGGGCACCGATACGATCCTTCAGAGGAATCCTGAACTTGGGGAAATCCACGCTGCGGTAGGGCTTTACCGGAGGTTCGGGATCTGAAGTTGACGAAGGCCGGAGAGCAACTATGTGCTTTTCACACAAGGGTCCGAGCATGCGCAAGCAAGGCGCGGCGCTTCTGGATTCGCTCCTTGAGAGTAGAGCGGGTTCTTTGGACACGACCCCATCCGTTAATTGGAGATCGAGAGGAGGATTCCGATGCTGGTCGTGGCGACAGATTAGCCACTTGGCGCTTTCTGAGCTCCAGATCTGCTTGGTAATGGAGACCATCCATCTGATCCAAAGCCTTGGCGAATTGGCGCGCGAGGCGTTGTCGTTTCCTTTGACGTGCTCTCTTTGATAGAGTTGGCGCGCCTTCAATAGTCGACTCCTTAATCGTGAAGGAGTTCAGATCTGCAAATTTGGCTTCATTGAACGCCGGTGGATCATTGCAAGGTGCAACAGCAACAGCGGCGGAGAGATCGTCTTCTTGGATCTTCAGATCTGAAGACCAGCAGATCTTTCTGGAGGAGGAGGCACTCCTGCACTTGCCAGGAGAGGCGGATCTGGAGGAGGAGGAGGAGGAGACGTACTCCTCGAACTTTTGCTGGTCGAATTCATATTCGACCTCTTCTATCATCGGGATCTCGATCGTCGGCTGCGACACGACAGCTTCGGCAGCGAATCTGTTGACTCCCACTGTGGTCGCCAGTTTGTTTGCGGTAAAAGTTATTGTTTTCATTGCTATCGAATCCATTACAATTTTAGTCGTTACAATAAACTCGAATGAAATAAAAAGTTGATCTTTTTATAAGATCTCCTTACACAATGAAAATAAAAAAGTTTACAACTTTATCAAACAAACGCAGAGATCGTTTATCGGTCTTCTGCTTGCGTGAGATCTTTGCCTGTGCCGGGGTTTATCTGTGGACTACCGTCGATCAGATCTGATTGCTGAAAAATTGGACAGAGCTTCGTCGATCCGCGAGGAGATCTAGAAATAGAAGCGCTTATCTCGACAAAAGCGAGATAATTGCTCTTCTTAGAATTACCACAACGGGATAATACTAAGGATTGGATCCGGGTGATGTAGATCTGACGACTTTCGATCTTTTGCGTTGAAGAACTCTATCCGATCTCTCCTCCTCCTCTCTGAAATCTGTGCACTTTAAGTCTTCAATCCGGTAGGGCTTCGCCGAGGCACCAAAATTCCAGATCTGAAAAAATGAGGCCTAAGGCTTGTATTTATAGGCTTGAGGGGATAACGGAGCGGTTAAAAATGCTTAAAAGCCCAAATCTGCCTTGGAGACACCCCAGGGTGTCTCCACTTGTTCGGAGACACCCTAGGGTGTCTCCCCCTAGGGTGTCTCGGTTTGGGCCGAGACACCCGAGGGTGTCTCGGCCTTAGCCGAGACACCGAAGGGTGTCTCGTTGGTCCGAGACACTCCTTTTGGTGTTTTTGACGGTTTCCGCCGTAATTCCTTCGTCCGAACTCGGATTTGAGTGATTCGAAGTGCGTTGGAAATCCGATGAGGTGTTCTATAAGCTCCGATGGTTGGATCATCTGTAGAATGAATGAGGCACGAAGGGCACTGTTCCTTTTGTAAACATCACGGGGCTCCCGATTAGCCCGTACCTTCGTTAGTTCACGTAGTTCGTCGATTTACTTCAAGCGTTCATCGACATCAATCGAACTCCTGTGAACCGGATAGTGACGTTCATCGTCATTCCTTAACACTGAGCTGTTCGTGAAGACCTATAGGCAATTTTCGATGCCTACAATTAGCATTGGTGATACAGCTGGATTTGGATTTGATCAAGATGGATGTGAAGACAGCCTTTCTACACAGTGATTTAGATGAGGAGATCTATATGACACATCACTTGGAATTCAAAGCTACAAGAAAGGAAGATTTGGTTTGTAAGCTGAAGAAGTCTCTTTATGGATTGAAGCAATCGTCGTGATAGTGATACAAGAGATTCGACGGCTTTATGAATGGCCATGGGTACACGAGGAGCCCATATGACCCATGTGTTTACATGCACAAGCTACAAGATAGTGAGCATATATATTTGCTTTTATATGTTAATGATATGCTTATTGCTTCCAGAAGTTCTTCGGCTATTCAAAAGTTAAAAGAGGAGCTGTCATCCGAGTTTGAGATGAATGATCTTGGAGAAACAAAGAAGATATTGGGTATGGAGATCGAGAGAGATAGGGTGAAAGGAAGATTGAAGCTTACACAGAGGAGTTATTTGTAGAAGTTGTTGAAGAAATTCAGCTTTGATGGTAACGCAAAAGTAGTCAGTACTCCATTGGCTACCCACTTCAAACTTTTAGCTAATATGTCACCTATTTCAGTTGAGGACAGAGATTACATGTCAAAGGTTCATATGCCAGTGTAGTGCGTCTTGATGTATACGATGGTGTGTACAAGGCCAGATTTATCACAGGCAGTGAGCATGGTATTGAGGTACAGCACGACCCTGGGAAGGGTCATTGGGAGATCGTGAAGTAGATTCTACGGTATGTTAAAGGCACCGTGGATGTTGGATTGATTTTCCAGAAGACAGAGAATAATGAGCATGATTGTATTGGTTACATGGATTCAGACTATGCAAGAGATGTTGACAAGCGTCGGTCTACTTCAGGATATGTATTTACATTGGTAGGAGCACCGGTTTGTTATAGATGTACACTTCAGTCTATAGTGGCTCTCTCTACTACAGAGGCGGAGTATATGGCGGTGACTGAAGCTGTTAAGGAGACTTTGTGGCTGTGTGGACTGTTGGAGTACTTGGGGATTACACAGGAGACCCTACAGGTATATTATGATAGCATGTCGGCTATCTATTTGGCGAAGAACCAGGTTTATCATGGACGCACAAAGCACATTGATGCTAGATTCCACTTTGTTCATGACATATTGGATGATGGAGACATCATATTAGAGAAGATCCACACGAAGAACAACCTTGCAGATATGTTGACCAAAGTTGTTTCAGGTTTGATTCCTTG